GTATTGCAGTTAATATTTCTATTGGTTAGAGTATAGTCCTTGTGTTAAATACTGATACTAGAAGCAAAATGGATTATATTTAGCAGCTAACGTTACCTCAGTTAAAAACACTGCTGTGTAACTTAGCACCGATGGGCTTCGTCAGCCGTCGGTTCAGAAAGCCCTGTTAAATTGATTTTGCTCCGGTTTTTAAAGTAATTAAGTTACAGTCTCCCTTTATTTGCTTGTTATAACGTTAGTTAATGAAATGGTCAATAACAATAAGACAGCTGTGTTATAAGGAGACGAGCTTCGAGACAGAAGCGTGAATTTTAATTTCAATGAAGCGCACGCTCGTTTTTCTTTAATGGTAAGTTAACGATAGGCGCCGATTGAAATAACGTTAAAAGCGAACCGGGTGCAAGACGGAGGTGTATGATATGTTAATGTTTGTCGCAGTTTCACACATCCAAACGTTACTAAGTTTGCGTTGAGTATTTTTCCCAGGCCTATATTAACAGGTGTAGCAGCTAGCTGCTAGACGTTCTTAACTGTTAACTTTGGCCCGCGAGGTCCACTTTCGTGCAGTTTTTAGCTCCAACCCAGATCAGACTGTTACTTTTCAGTAATCCCGAAGATCTTGACTAACGTTAGCTTGTTCAGGTGTGTTTTATCAGGGTTGGAGCTAAACTCAGCAGGTGAGTGGACACTGCTAACGTTACAAATGAGAACTTCCGGCCGGTCTCCATTAAAACTGCACGGTTGCAGTCAGTGCAGCGTTCGTATCCGCACATACTCTTATGTTCATTGTTTACCGTGATGCATGCGCTGGATTAAAGTGGTGATAGCACGTGGTTAAATGTGTAGGTGTGTTTAATGCATAGTTGGTTTGTGAAGTGTTATTTATGCTCTGTTTTCTTTTCCCCCCAGGTAACGATGGTTGACAAAAAGAACTTAAGTCAAAAAAGTAAGTCTGTGTTGTTAAATATTAAACATTGTTGCTAAATAAACAAACTTGTGCTAAGCAAGCTTAAAATCCTTATCTCAATCTTAATTTATATTTTTTCTTTTTCTTCAAACAGCCTGGAAACTGAAGTGCCTCAAATATCTTGTACTCAGTAAGTAACATTGTTTAAACTGTTTAAGCAGACTGTATTGTGGCAAGTAAAATGAATATCCTGTATAAAAAGACTTCATCATTGTATTCATGTTTACAAACAAGAACCCTGTGAGGATGAGGGCTCATTTGTTGCCAAACCTTGGCCAGCAGTGGGACTCAACGCATGTAAGAATTTTGATTACCACGCCCAGTATTTTTCTTATTGAACATTATCAGAAATGCTTCACTATATGGTAGTCAATTGCAACCTCCAGTTCATGCTGACTTTAAGGAACTTGTTTGGCTGAAAGTGTGTAATTTGGATATAAGCACCTGAAGTAAACAAATGTTTTGTATTTTTTAAAGATGCTGCATGAAATGACGATGAGGTTTGGAACAGACTTGGCGAAGAACATGGAAACATCTCTAAATGAAATGGTGCCCAAACATCATCAGGAGTGCAAAAGAAGGAAGTAAAAAAAGAAGGAAGGAAGAGGAAACCACAGAAGGTAACCACCATTTTCCCCATCCAACCTATCTATTCCATGCCCAGTGTAACGTTGCATTGTCAATGTAAAGGTTAAATTGAATGAGTGAAAACATGTATTAAAATAATGAAAGTATTAAAGGAATAGTTTACCCAAAAATGAAAATTGTCATAATTTATTCACCTCTTGTCATTTCAAATCTTTATGACTTTCTTCTTCAGAACACAAAAGATATTTTGAAGAAGGATGGTAACCGAACAATGGCGGTGCCCATTGACCTGCTGCATTAGTTTTGTGTCCATATAATTGAAGTGAATGGGTACCAGCATTGTTCGGTTACCAACATTCTCCAAAATATATTTTTTTGTGTTATGCTGAAGTAGGAAAGCCATATAAGTTTAAAATGACAAGAGTGAGTGAATGATGACAGAATTTTTATTTTTGGGTGACTATGCCTTTAATTGATTTCTGTACCTAATGGACAATAATTTGTATCTGTTTGTAGGTCTCTTTAGGAATGCTGCACTCATTTTATTGCCAGCACTATTTAAAGAAAACGCCACCTTCCTCTACTGTGTAGATAGTGTAAGTATAAAGTCTTCTGTATTTTCATTAACATTTGATGCACTTGACTTGAATTAGTCAGTAGGACTGGGCGATAAATCGATTTTATCGATTAACTCGAATGTGTAGTTTACGTCGACTTCGCATCGATCATAAAATAAATACAACTCCAGGGGTTAATACTTGTCTTCTAAAGCACAATGTTACATACAAATGGTACGTTAGTGAGATAAAAAAAAAGATTAAATTTGCCAAGATAGGTTGCTATAATTAGACTATGTATAGATAAGAGAATAACATCCAATGGGGTGGCACATCAGCTCCACATCAATAATTATGAGTCTTGTTGGTTCTTGCGTGTCACGTGCCTAGCTGTCATATCCGTGTTGTCATGAACGATTCAGTCGCAAGAATGAAAGAACCAATGAAATTCAAAGTAATCAAACTGGAGCTGACGTGGTAGCATGTTGAATGTTCATCAGTAATGTTGACATTCAAACACATTACAAAGCTTGGAAGAGCTAGGATATTATTAAATATATCTCAGATTTGGTTTAAGTGAAGAAATAGTCATACACATAGGTTGGCTTGTTGGTAAATTATGGGGTAATTTTTGGTCTATTTGATGACTTCTGTTAATTGGTGAAAAACACTCAAAAGGTGAAATGTTTGTTTTACAGGAAACCAAAGGTCCTACACCAACCAGTGTTTAACGGCTCTCCTGATCTCCTCAAGACTGAGAGTGTCAGCATTATAATGGAGGCAGACATGACAAAGACTGTGGAATGCCTGTTTGCAGTCGCACAATGACTTTTATTCAAAAATATATGCATAAACTTAAACAAGAGCATGACACAAGAACACCAATACCTGTACTAAAAATGTACTGTCAACTTGTGTAAGTTGTAGTGCTATTTATTAGATGTTTTAATTGTTCATGTATTGTTTTTTTATCTGCTTTGTCAAATATCAAAAATATATTGTATGGTTTTTCCTCATTTCAGAGATGCATGTAAAAGTTAAGTACTGTATATGTACATACAGTACATAAACAAGCTTATGTATGCTTATTGCTAAGTGAAAATGCTTAAATTAAATAATTCAAACTAAATGGTTGAATGTAATTTAACATCTTAAATGTAAAAAAAAGTTTTGCTGTATAACACAGTATACGGATGTGCAATTTTAAGTATGACACTAATATGTTTGTATAATCAATTGAATAAATTTAAACTTTTGGAATTTTCTGGATTGGTTATTTTTGTATTCATATAATTAACTGGTTTAATAATATAGAACCCTTAAATGGTTCTAAATAGAACCATCTAACTTGGATTTAAAGAACCATTGGGGGTTCTTTTTATGGAACCTATTAAAATGGTTCTATATAGAACCATTTTGGAGTTCCATATATGAAGCGGGTGATAGAACCATTTCTGGTTCTAAGTAGAACCATTTCTTTTAAGAGTGTAGTTTCTCTCATCCATTCCATTCCTAAATAGTGCGTTTTGTCTATCACTTTCTTGTTTGGTGTGACTAACTTGGTGATAACAATGTACCGTTACTTTCTGGATGAGATCAGCTATTTTCTCCCATTGTTCTCTGTGGCATAGGTTTATTACGGGCATTGTGGAAACCGTTGGCTTTCCATATCTCTAATTCCTTGTTCAAACCATCTGCTACATATTCTGAGTCACATGTCAGCACAATTTCCTGATGTCCTAATTCAACAGCTTTTTCCAGGGCTTTTTATTTTTATTTAACCTTTATTTAACCAGGAAGTCCCTTGAGACTGAAGTCTCTTTTCCGAGGGAGACCTGGCCAAGACGGCACACCAGTTACAATTTAAATACAAATACAACATAATCAAAAACAAACAAACATCACACATAAAAAAAAAAAAAAAAAGAACAGGTCACATATGGCAGTTACATTTTTGAGTTATATGGCATTTTAACATGGCCTTAAATTTGTTTAATGGGACTAGATCATTTAGATGTAGCAAATCTTGCAAATTATTCCAGGACCATGGTGCAAAGTAAGAGAAGGCTTTTTTTCCCAGCTCAGTAAAAACCCTTGGAACCTGGTAAGAGAGCCATCTGGTGGAACGGAGATGAAAACTGCTGGAATTCTTTTTAAGGAGATTACATAAATATGCCGGCAATTTACCCAACACGGCTTTCTATAGAAAAATATGCAAATGAAGTTGTCTACGTAGACTTAGTGACGTCCAGCCTGCCAGTTCATACAGCGTACAATGAGGAGTACGGTAACCAGAGTTAGTTAAAAAGCGTAAAGCACTAAGAAAGAAGAAAGAAAGAAAGAAAGAAAGAAAGAAAGAAAGAAAGAAAGAAAGAAAGAAAGAAGAAAGATTAGTTAGAAAGAAAGAAGAAAGATTAGCTAGAAAGAAAGAAAGAAAGAAGAAAAATTAGTTAGAAAGAAAGAAAGAAAGATTAGTTAGAAAGAAAGAAAGAAAGAAAGAAAGAAGAAAGATTAGTTAGAAAGAAAGAAAGAAAGAAAGAAAGAAAGAAAGAAAGAAAGAAGAAAGATTAGTTAGAAAGAAAGAAAGAAAGAAAGAAAGAAAGAAAGAAGAAAGATTAGTTAGAAAGAAAGAAGAAAGATTAGCTAGAAAGAAAGAAAGAAAGACAGAAAGAAAGAAGAAAGATTAGTTAGAAAGAAAGAAAGAAAGATTAGTTAGAAAGAAAGAAAGAAAGAAAGAAAGAAAGAAAGAAAGAAGAAAGATTAGTTAGAAAGAAAGAAAGAAAGAAAGAAGATAGATTAGTTAGAAAGAAAGATAGATAGATTTGTTAGAATGAAAAAAAGATAGATTAGTGAGAAAGAAAGATAGATTAGTTAGAAAGAAAGATAGATTAGTTAGAAAGAAAGAAAGATTAGTTAGAAAGAAAGATAGATAGATTAGATAGAAAGAAAGAACGATAGATTAGTTAGAAAGAAAGATGGATAGATTAGTTAGAAAGAAAGATAGATTAGTAAGAAAGAAAGAAAGATTAGTTAGAAAGAAAGATAGATTAGTTAGAAAGAAAGAGATTAGTTAGAAAGAAAGAGATTAGTTAGAAATAAAAAAGAAAGATAAGTTAGAAAGAAAGATAGATTAGTTAGAAAGAAAGAAAGATTAGTTAGAAAGAAAGATAGATTAGTTAGAAAGAAAGATAGATTAGTTAGAAAGAAAGATAGATTAGTTAGAAAGAAAGAGATTAGTTAGAAATAAAAAAGAAAGATACGTTAGAAAGAAAGATAGATTAGTTAGAAAGAAAGAAAGAAAGATTAGTTAGAAAGAAAGAAAGATTAGTTAGAAAGAAAGATAGATTAGTTAGAAAGAAAGATAGATTAGTTAGAAAGAAAGATAGATTAGTTAGAAAGAAAGAGATTAGTTAGAAATAAAAAAGAAAGATAAGTTAGAAAGAAAGATAGATTAGTTAGAAAGAAAGAAAGAAAGAAAGAAAGATTAGTTAGAAAGAAAGAAAGATTAGTTAGAAAGAAAGATAGATTAGTTAGAAAGTTAGAAAGAAAGATAGATTAGTTAGAAGAAAGAAAGATTAGTTAGAAAGAAAGATAGATTAGTTACAAAGAAAGAAAGATTAGTTAGAAAGAAAGATAGATTAGTTAGAAAGAAAGAAAGATTAGTTAGAATGTTAGAAAGAAAGATAGATTAGTTAGAAGAAAGAAAGATTAGTTAGAAAGAAAGATAGATTAGTTAGAAAGAAAGATAGATTAGTTAGAAAGAAAGATAGATTAGTTAGAAAGAAAGATAGATTAGTTAGAAGAAAGAAAGGTTAGTTAGAAAGAAAGATAGATTAGTTAGAAAGAAAAAGATTAGTTAGAAGAAAGAAAGATTAGTTAGAAAGAAAGAAAGATTAGTTAGAAAGAATGAAAGATTAGTTAGAAGAAAGAAAGATTAGTTAGAAAGAAAGAAAGATTAGTTAGAAAGAATGAAAGATTAGTTAGAAAGAATGAAAGATTAGTTAAAAAGAGAGATAGATAGATAGATAGATAGATAGATAGATAGATAGATAGATAGATAGATAGATAGATAGATAGATAGATAGTTAGATAGATAGTTAGATAGATAAGTTCATTAGTACATATAGAATGGTAGTTTAATTGAGTCTAGGGCTTCAGGGAGTTTAGATTTGAGTTTGTGTTGTACACTAATGGGACTACTTTGCAATGAAAGTCAATGGGATTTTTATGATTTTTAATATTAATTTTTAAGAAATCTGAAAGTCAAATCAGTCTGAAAAGATATAGCAACTCGAGTCAGAACAGTCTGAAGGTCTGACCCGAGTTTGGAGTTTGTAGAGTTAAAACTCTAGGAGGAGTAGCAGTCAGAATTTTTTGGGTAAGAAAAATAAGAAGAAGAAGAAGAAGAAGAAGAAGAAGAAGAAGAAGAAGAAGAAGAAGAAGAAGAAGAAGAACTAGAAAAAAAGTTTGATGAGACAAACTTTAAGTTGGCTTGAGAAAGCCGGACCAGAGAGTTTGAAGAAGTTTAAAGTAGTTTGAAGTCGGATAGATTGATTAGTTAGAAAAGAAAAGAAAGATTAGTTAGATAGACAGAAGGATTGGTTTCACTGAAAGAAAGATTAGTTAGAAAGAAAGAAAGATTAGTTAGAAAGAAAGAAAGAAAGATTAGTTAGAAAGAAAGAAAGAAAGATTAGTTTAAAAAAGATATAAAGAAAGAAAGAAAGAAAGAAAGAAGAAATGTTAGTTAGAAAGAAAGAAAGAAAGAAAGAAAGAAGAAAGATTAGCTAGAAAGAAAGAAAGAAAGAAAGAAAGAAAGATTAGTTAGAAAGAAAGAAAGAAAGAAAGAAGAAAGATTAGAAAGAAAAAAAGAAAGAAAGAAAGAAAGAAAGAAAGAAAGAAAGAAAGAAAGAAAGAAGAAAGATTAGTTAAAAAGAAAGAAAGATTAGTTAGAAAGAAAGAAAGAAAGAAAGAAAGAAAGAAGAAAGATTAGTTAGAAAGAAAGAAAGAAAGAAAGAAAGAAAGAAAGAAAGAAAGAAAGAAGAAAGATTAGTTAGAAAGAAAGAAAGAAAGAAGAAAGATTAGTTAGAAAGAAAGAAAGAAAGAAAGAAAGAAAAATGAATTTGAAAGAAAGAAAGAAAGAAAGAAAGAAAGAAAGAAAGAAAGAAAGAAGAAAGATTAGTTAGAAAGAAAGAAAGAAGAAAGATTAGCTAGAAAGAAAGAAAGATTAGTTAGAAAGAAAGAAAGAAGAAAGATTAGCTAGAAAGAAAGAAAGAAAGAAAGAAAGAAAGATTAGTTAGAAAGAAAGAAAGAAGAAAGATTAGCTAGAAAGAAAGAAAGAAAGAAAGAAAGATTAGTTAGAAAGAAAGAAAGAAAGAAAGATTAGTTAGAAAGAAAGAAAGAAAGAAAGAAGAAAGATTAGAAAGAAAGAAAGAAAGAAAGAAAGAAGAAAGATTAGTTAAAAAGAAAGAAAGAAAGATTAGTTAGAAAGAAAGAAAGAAAGAAAGAAAGAAAGAAGAAAGATTAGTTAGAAAGAAAGAAAGAAAGAAAGAAAGAAGAAAGATTAGTTAGAAAGAAAGAAAGAAAGAAAGAAAGAAAGAAAGAAAGAAAGAAAGAAAGAAAGAAAGAAGAAAGATTAGTTAGAAAGAAAGAAGAAAGATTAGCTAGAAAGAAAGAAAGAAAGACAGAAAGAAAGAAGAAAGATTAGTTAGAAAGAAAGAAAGAAAGAAAGAAAGAAAGAAGAAAGATTAGTTAGAAAGAAAGAAAGAAAGAAAGAAAGAAAGAAAGAAAGAAGAAAGATTAGTTAGAAAGAAAGAAAGAAAGAAAGAAAGAAAGAAGAAAGATTAGTTAGAAAGAAAGAAAGAAAGAAAGAAAGAAGAAAGATTAGCTAGAAAGAAAGAAAGAAAGAAAGAAAGACAGAAAGAAAGAAGAAAGATTAGTTAGAAAGAAAGAAAGAAAGAAAGATTAGTTAGAAAGAAAGAAAGAAAGAAAGAAGAAAGATTAGTTAGAAAGAAAGAAAGAAAGAAAGAAAGAAAGAAAGAAAGAAAGAAAGAAGAAAGATTAGTTAGAAAGAAAGAAAGAAGATTAGTTAAAAAGAAAGAAAGAAAGAAAGAAAGAAGAAATATTAGTTAGAAAGAAAGACGAAATATTAGTTAGAAAGAAAGAAAGAAAGAAGAAAGATTAGCTAGAAAGAAAGAAAGAAAGAAAGAAAGAAAGAAAGAAAGAAAGAAAGAAAGAAAGAAAGAAAGAAAGAAAGAAAGAAAGAAGAAAGATTAGTTAGAAAGAAAGAAAGAAAGAAAGAAGAAAGATTAGTTAGAAAGAAAGAAAGAAAGAAAGAAAGAAAGAAAGAAAGAAAGAAAAATTAATTAGAAAGAAAGAAAGAAAGAAAGAAAGAAAGAAAGAAAGAAAGAAAGAAGAAAGATTAGTTAGAAAGAAAGAAAGAAGAAAGATTAGCTAGAAAGAAAGAAAGATTAGTTAGAAAGAAAGAAAGAAGAAAGATTAGCTAGAAAGAAAGAAAGAAAGAAAGAAAGAAAGAAAGAAAGATTAGTTAGAAAGAAAGAAAGAAGAAAGATTAGCTAGAAAGAAAGAAAGAAAGAAAGAAAGATTAGTTAGAAAGAAAGAAAGAAGAAAGATTAGCTAGAAAGAAAGAAAGAAAGAAAGAAAGAAAGAAAGATTAGTTAGAAAGAAAGAAAGAAAGAAAAAAAGAAGAAAGATTAGTTAGAAAGAAAGAAAGAAAGAAAAAAAGAAGAAAGATTAGTTAGAAAGAAAGATTAGCTAAAAAAAGGAAGAAAGATTAGTTAGAAAGAGAGAAAGAAAGAAAGAAAGAAGAAAGATTAGTTAGAAAGAAAGAAAGAAGAAAGATTAGTTAGAAAGAAAGAAAGAAAGAAAGAAGAAAGATTAGTTAGAAAGAAAGAAAGAAAGAAAGAAAGAAGAAATATTAGTTAGAAAGAAAGAAAGAAAGAAAGAAAGAAAGAAAGAAAGAAAGAAAGAAGAAAGATTAGTTAGAAAGTAAGAAAGAAGAAAGATTAGAAAGAAAGAAAGAAGAAAGATTAGTTAGAAAGAAAGAAAGAAGAAAGATTAGTTAGAAAGAAAGAAAGAAAGAAAGAAAGAAAGAAAGAAGATAGATTAGTTAGAAAGAAAGAAAGATTAGTAAGAAAGAAAGATAGATTAGTTAGAAAGAAAGATAGATTAGTTAGAAAGAAATATTAGTTAGAAAGAAAGATAGATAGATTGGTTAGAAAGAAAGAAAGATTAGTTAGAAAAAAGAAAGATAGATTAGTTAGAAAGAAAGATAGATAGATTTGTTAGAATGAAAAAAAGATAGATTAGTGAGAAAGAAAGATAGATTAGTTAGAAAGATAGATTAGTTAGAAAGAAAGAAAGATTAGTTAGAAAGAAAGATAGATAGATTAGATAGAAAGAAAGAACGATAGATTAGTTAGAAAGAAAGATGGATAGATTAGTTAGAAAGAAAGATAGATTAGTTAGAAAGAAAGAAAGAAAGATTAGTTAGAAAGAAAAAAACAGATTAGTTAGAAAGAAAGATAGATTAGTTAGAAAGATAAAAGATAGATAGATTATTTAGAAAGAAAGAAGATAGATTAGTTAGAAAGAAAGAACCTGCAAGAGAGTCATTTCATCCTCAAGGGAAGCCTTTATCCGACACTCAAGGTGTGCAAGACGTAACAAAATACCTTATTCGCAGGGAAATGTTGAGTGCAGGTCTCCTGAAATTTGACGACCGCCCTGAGAATTACTGGGCATGGAAGGCATCATTCCAAAGTGCCATCCAAGATCTCAACCTTTCATCGAGGGAAGAACTGGATTTGATAACTAAATGGCTTGGTGAGGAGTCTGCAGAGCAGGCAAAGAGCATTCGCTCTGTACATGTGTTCAACCCAACAGCAGCACTCAACTTAGTCTGGCAAAGACTAGAAGAATGTTATGGGTCATCAGAAGCAGTAGAACATGCTCTGCTGAAAAAGGTTGAAGATTTCCCTAAACTCACCAACAGAGATAATGTCAGGCTAAGGGAGTTAGGTGACATTCTTCAGGAGATAGAGTGTGCAAAAGAGGGAGGATATTTACCTGGCCTGTCATATTTGGACACAGCTCGTGGAGTAAATCCCATCGTGGAGAAATTACCTTACAGCTTGCAAGAGAGATGGGTTGCCACAGGATCCAAATATAAGGATGACAATGGAGTCGCATTCCCACCTTTTCGTTTCTTCTCCAGCTTTGTAAGACAACAGGCACGAGTGAAAAACGACCCCAGTTTTGCCTTTACATCCTCCAGCACCCAGAGCTTGAAAACTGAGAAATACACAAGAAGTGGCAACAGAGCTTCTGTAACTGTGCACAAAACAGAAGTTCCACAAGATTCTATGACTATCCAGTGTAGCTCTGGTGAGAACATTATGGAAAGTCCTGATAAGTTATGTCCCATACATAAAAAGCCCCACCCACTAAAAAAATGCAGGAGCTTCAGAGCTAAACATATTGATGAAAGAAAATCATTTCTGAAAGAGAACCGTATTTGTTTCAGATGTTGTGGGTCAGTACAGCATATGGCAAAAGACTGCAGAGTGACACTTAAATGTCTAGAGTGTAACAGTGAGAAACACGTCTCAGCACTGCATCCTGGTCCTCCACCCACTACAACAGGGAGCCAAGAAGCTGACAAAGATGATGGCAGGGAGGTGAATGGAAATGCTTTGACACCAGTGACATCCAAATGCACAGAGATATGCGGCAATTCAGATGGTCTACATTCCTGCTCCAAAATCAGTCCAGTGATAGTGTATCCTGCTGGAAGAAGAGAGGAAGCAAAGAAAATGTATGCGGTGTTAGACGAACAGAGTAATAAGTCACTCGCTAAATCAGAATTCTTTAATCTTTTTAACATAACAACCACATCAGACCCATACACACTGAAAACTTGTTCAGGGGTAACCAAAGCAATGGGCAGAAGAGCTATAAACTTGATGATCGAATCCATGGATGGCAAAATACAACTATCACTACCAAGTTTAATTGAATGTGACATGATTCCTGATGACCGCACAGAGATCCCATCTCCTAAGGTGGCACGTTGTCATCCCCACCTGCAGCGAGTTGCTGAGAGGATTCCTCCTGTGGATCCAGACGCTCCCATCCTCATACTCTTGGGAAGAGATATCCTGCGGGTGCACAAGGTCAGAGAGCAAATTAACGGACCCCACAGTGCTCCTTATGCGCAAAGGCTGGACCTGGGATGGGTCATCGTGGGCGACATCTGCCTAGGAACAACTCACAAGCCATCAAGTGTTAATGTCCTGAAAACACATGTGCTCAGTAACGGCCGCACATCTTTTCTTAGCCCATGCCCAAACAAAATCTTAGTGAAGGAGAGTCTCAGTCAGTCATCACATCTCGGCTGTTCTCCGGCCTCTTGTACACAGTAAGAGTGCCATAGTGGTAGTATAGACATGTTGGGATCTGCTGTTTTTGAAAGAACCAGAGAAGATGAAAAATCAGCGTTTTCAGTGGATGATCAGGTTTTTCTTGATTTGATGGACAGAGAAGTCTATCAAAATGAAGCAAACAGCTGGGTGGCGCCATTACCATTTCGCTCCACCAGACAGTGCCTTCCAAGTAACAGAGCAAGCAATGACGCGTCTTTATTCTCTCAGGAAAACACTGGACAGAAAACCTGACATGAAGAAGCAGTACATTGACTTCATGCAGAAAATGTTAGAAAACGAGCATTCAGAGCCTGCTCCTCCACTGAAGAAACATAAAGAACACTGGTACTTACCTTCATTTGGCGTATATCACCCTAAGAAACCTGACCAGCTAAGAGTGGTATTTGATTCAAGTGCTGAATATGAAGGAGTGTCCTTAAACAAAGTGCTGCTTAGTGGTCCTGATTTGAATAACAGCCTTTTGGGGGTTCTTCTACGTTTCAGAAAAGAATCCATTGCATTCACAGCTGATATACAGCAAATGTTTTATTGTTTTGTTAGGGGTATACAGTCAAAGACCCAGAACCAGATATGAAGAATGAAGACCCGGAGTCAGAATTATAAAAAATTAAAGAAAAGTTTTACTGAAGATAGTTTGCATTTTCATCAGCAGAAGTCAGCTTCAAGACTCACACAAGAGTTCGTAGGCCGCCCCGCTTACAGTTACAAAGATCACAGCAGTTATACCATTTCCAAGGTCTAAGCTACGTCATTGCTTACAGGTTGAATGATTCTCATTGGCTAAGAAACATGAAAGCCTAAACAATTTAACACATGTGAGGAGATAGGGGTGCCTATCGCCATTAGTCACGATAGTTGTCGTCCACTCATTGGATTTAGGTCTGTGGTGGCCTCGCAGGTTAGAGAAGGGCGCCGGGGTGTCTGGTCCGACCGTCCAGAACCTACATAGAATGTCATACGCACACACACACAAATAACAGACACTAGCAAATAACAGCTCCCATCAAGGCTGAAGAGAGTCTGAGCTCCTTATTATCAGTTAAGTATACCAAAACATAATGCTAAAACATTCACTCGTTTGGGAGAAAAACAGATCACTGGCATTTACTCCCAAGGAAGGAAATATACTGGAAGGAATACATTTTAATACAACAATTAAAGTTTGATAGTAACACTCAATATAGCTTGACCATATGTCCAGCGAAGAATCATATGTGTCCACGCTGCCTTTAGGACCCTCTACTGATACCAGAGAAAGAGACAAACGGCCTTGTGGGTTACGTGGCCTTCGTGTCCTGCGTGTACTACGTGCAATCTCAAAGTAAGATTGGAATGCACCTAAAAGAAACTGGTTATTTAGATCACATGCATTTAAGAAAATATAATTTCACAAGCACAAAGAATATAAAAATTATTATGTGATAATGAATATATTTGATTATTGATTTTTATAAAGGAAGTATATAACCATTCAAAAGGATATATGATTATATATGTATTTGAAGAGGCAAGGGATTTTGACCAACCCTTCAGTTTTGTTGTATACGAAGACCACAGAGACTACCTCAGGTTCCTTTGGTATGAAGAGAACAATCTCAGCAAGAAGGTGAGGGACTACAGAATGAAGGTCCATGTATTTGGAAATAGCCCCTCACCAGCCGTGGCTATTTATTGCATGAGGCGCGCTGCAGCAGAGGGTGAGAGAGAACATGGCGCTGATGCCAAGCAGTTTGTTGTAAGACATTTTTATGTTGATGATGGACTTGCATCTGCACCAACCCCTGAAGAAGCAATTGACATCCTAACAAGATCACAGAAGATGCTAGCTGACTCCAACCTGAAATTGCACAAGATAGCATCCAACAGTCACAAGGTTATGGAAGCTTTTCCAGCTGATGAGAGGGCCAAGGATCTGAAGGATTTGGACCTCACGTCAGATGATCTCCCTTACAGCGCAGCTTGGGGGTCTTGTGGAACCTGGAAACAGACAGTTTCACATTCAAAGTGTCTCAAGAGGATAGACCATACACTAAGAGAGGTGTTTTGGCCACAGTCAACAGTTTGTTTGACCCTTTAGGATTTGTGGCTCCTATAACAATGCAGGGAAAAGCTCTCCTTCGTGAAATCTCAGCTGAGCAGAATGACTGGGATGAACCACTTCCTACCGAAAAGAAAGAAGAATGGAGTAAAAAAAAAAAAAAAAAAAAGTAAAAGATGTTCATCTTTATACAAATTAAAATGTCAGTTAAGGCAACTCAATAGCAACAAAACTCCAAACTGTGATAGATGGCATAATGAGCTATGGAAAAAAAAAGCAAAAAGGGTGATTTCTGAATTTCATTTTGTACCATCAAATGATGCTCTTCGTTCTTTAGCCAGGCCTCTTTGTATAGTTTTGATTCTCCATGCCAAGTACCCAGTGCCACTCTCACCATCATAGTAATGCTCCTTAGAAAGACAAAAATACATAAAGAGAAAAAGTCTTAATTCAAGAGCAAAATACACCACCTGTATTGTGTGTGATCATCAGCATTTAAGACATGTCAACACAGAATTAAAATTCAAAAATGGTGTGATACTTACATAGCCTTTTTTGGACAAGGGGTCACTGAGGTAAGGGAACAAAGAGACAATTCCTCTGGCATATTTTTCTTTAACCTGCCTTGGTGGTGATGTACTGTATAATAAATAAATAATCTATCTTTAGCACAGGTTAAAAAAAAAACAAATTATGGAACTACATTGAGAGACCATATACACCAGTTAAAGATATGCAGATTACCCATTCTTTTCTGTCATGTCAGCTGCCAGGATGTTCACCATTTTCCTCCTCGTTTCATCTCCCAAAGTCTTAAATCGGTTGTATTCATTTATTATATGCTCTCCACCAGGTTTATGGACAAGAATGGATTCCACCAACTTAAAAAAAAAACATAAATATGGCATGTTAAAGTACAAAACATTACCTGAAAAAAAATATGTAATAAAAAAAAGGCTATTATTTCAGATTGATGAATTTTAACAGTCTTTCCCCAACCCCCCCAAAATGTATAAAGAACTACTTTGATGCCCACCTTTTTAGCTTCATCATCTAGTCTCGTTCTTTTACTTGAAGAGCTTTCTTCAATTATTACTGTATCCTGTGAGTCAGTGGAGTCGATTGATGAAGACAGTGACACATTTAACTGCACAGGAGAGGCTTGTGGAGAGGCAGATTCCAAGTCTAGTTGAATATAGGGTGGTCAAAATCTTTATGATACTAATAAGCAAGCACTGAGAAAATTTATAGAAAGTAAATAAAAAAATTTGCAAACCTGCACCATGTTTTATGGTGAGAACACCAACCGAGGGATCTTTAACTAGATCCTCAAAAACATCCTCATCCACCTCAGTCCCCGATTCATCAACAACCTTCACATTGTCGGGTACATTTGGGACATCAAACTTTAAAAAAGCTGGGGGAAAAAAATGTATGCCAATTAATGAGAAAGGGTATACATTACAAGGTTGATCAGTTACTTGCTGGTAACTCAGAACATCAGAGCAAATGTAAGATGTGACAGTATTATAAAATACAATTACATACATATATATATTTTTTATTTTTATTTTTTTTACAAATTAATACAAATATTCAAATTAATATAATAAAAGAATAAAGTTGCATGATTCTGGTAAATTGAGAATCATGATTTTTTGACAAAATGTTAATTGCTGCTGTCCAACTAATTTGTCTTAACTTGAATTAATTATTTAATAAAATTAAATGTTTCATTGCTGATGGATCAGCCTTTTGAATTAATCAATAGCCCAGTGGGCAACGAGCGCTGTGATGCTGGAGCTGTGCTCAGGGCGACCTGAGTTCCAGTCTTGGTTCGAGGTTCAGGCTTCTCAAGCCAACATCATAGTTTGTTCACATAATTTAGCCTCTAGTTGTGTTATTAACATGTATATAATGGATTAAGTATATGTTTTAAATTACAGAAAAAAAAGATACTCATAAGGTATCATATTTATACTTTAAATAAATTAGTCTTTACATAATTTCTGATTACTAATTAGGCTGGCTAATTTTGAAAGTTGTCAATGTCAATATTGCTTGTGATCTTAATATGTATGTATTTGTATTCTTTCTGTTTACACTTTTGCATGATCTTCTTGTATAGGCTATGAGGAAAAACTACCATGCACACAGAGAACAGAGCTCAATGCTGCTAACTGGGCGAGCAGCGACAACTAGAAGAGAAGAACAGTAGAACACCTAATCTTAATACAGATGACTGGATTACTCTTCTGAAGAACCAAGACAAGCAAAGACTGATGATGAGCGCTCTGAGCAAACACAGCAGTCAAGACGCATGAGTGACTTTACTGAGTTCTTCATGTAATGTTGGGCATTTACTGTACGCAGAACTTCTAATAATTTATGTGGATGCCATTTATAAACCTGTTAGATTTTGATGTTTTAATTTTGAGATTAATAAAATTGTATGTTTTAACAATGTTATAGCTAAGCATTTTTTTTGTTTAAGACAACATTTTGGGAACAAAAATAAAACTTCCGGCTAAAAACTTTATAAGAATGTTAGGGGATGTAATGTTCTAAAAGTGTTATGATTAAACCTTTATAGAAGGTCATCACAAAACATTTTTAGAGTGTTCTTAGAGAATGTTATGCCATCTTTTAAGAGATCATTCTGGGAACAAAAATAAAACTACCCGCTGAAAATGTTATAAGAACATTAGGGAATAATGTTCTAACAATGTTAGCATTAAACATTTTTAGAATGTTTTTACAGAATGTTATTAGAACTTTTAAGAGAACATTCTGGGAACAAAAAGAAAACTACCCGCTGAAAATGTTATAAGAACATTAGGGAATAATGTTCTAACAATGTTAGCATTAAACATTTTTAGAATGTTTTTAAAGAATGTTATTAGAACTTTTAAGAGAACATTCTGGGAACAAAAAGAAAACTACCCGCTGAAAACATTATTAGAACAATGCATGGTAATGTTCTCAGAACATTTTTAGAACAAAAAAATTCTAGCTGGGGAGCGGACAACGTGCCTCTTAACACCGGCTCAGCAGATCACAGACTAACACACCCACTGCTCTCTATACCGTGCATCACCAGAGGTAACCCATATGCAAACCCATGCCGCCCTCTACTGGACAACCTTGACTATAGCATCCCATTTACTACATCCCCGTTTCCCAGATAACACTAGCTTCCAATAGTATTTACATTACTCTTTACAATATATCACGTTTATAACTTTTGTAAATTTGACCAAGTAGTAATATGCAAGAAAACCACACAAAACCATAACATGTGTGCATTTACAACATAAACTAGGGACTTTGGGTGGACTACCTCCGTCCCAGTGAGTTCCAGGACGCATTCTTGCCCTGTGGCTGGGGAACTCACTTCTAACTACTCAAAATCCTGTAAGTATCTCGGAGTCTTCTTCGGTCTCGTCGACCTCCTTAACTCTACATTGTCTTTCACCACAGGATTTTCTGACCTTAACACCTCCTTGGTCGTTTCCTCTGTCTGCTCCACATTAGTGTCTTTGGAGATTGTGACACCCACGATTGATGTTAACTCTTCCCCCTCTTTCCCTGATTGTTCCTCCAACACCAGAGTTTCCTCTGTAGGCCCAACATGCCTGTTCCTCACTTGATCTATGTGCCTGCGCACTATCTGGCCATTTCCAAGTGCAACCGTACAAGACACCGGTCCCGTCTGTTTCTGAACTGTCCCAGGAACCCAGATAGGCCCTGATCCAAAGTTCTTAGTGTACACTTGGTCACCTTCAGTCACAAGTCTCTCCCTAGCATGTCGATCATGGTAAAATTTTTGTTTCATCTGTTTTTCCTGCACTTGACTTTTAAAATCAGGATGGATGAGATCCAAGGTAGACCTTAGCTTTCTTCCACACAACAGTTCCGCAGGAGATTTCCCAGTAGTCGACTGTGGTGTGATCCTGTAACTGAACAATGCTCTAGCAAGCTTTGTCTCAATGGAATCTCCTGTGCTCTTTTTCATCAGACTTTTGAACGTCTGCACCGCCCGTTCAGCCAGTCCATTAGACGCTGCGTGATACGGTGCTGTGGTGATGTGTTTGATGCCATTTCGGGTCATAAACTCTTGGAACTCTGCACTTGTGAAACTGCTGCCATTATCCGACACCACCATTTCAGGTATCCCATGTTGGCTGAAACTTTGTCTCAGGCATTGAATGGTTACAGTAGAGGTAGACTTATGTAACGGGTACACCTCTAGCCATTTAGAGTAGGCATCCACTAAGATTAAGAACATTCTCCCTAGCCACGGACCAGCATAATCAATGTGGATTCGTCTCCATGGCAGGTTTGGCATCTCCTATGGATGTAAAGGTGCACAGGGGGGAGAATTCCTATTCTCTTGACATGTGGCACAAGTTTTTACCATGCCTTCTATTTCCGCGTCCATCTGTGGCCACCACATGTAACTTCGTGCCAAACCTTTCATTCGGGTTATTCCAGGGTGATTGATGTGTAATTGTTTCTGCTCCCCACAGAACACAACCTCCCTGTACACTGAGTTCATCTCGTTTCTTAGTATATGCTCCAAAAACGGACTCGTCCATTCTCTTTGGCCATCCTCTGAGCACATACTCTCTCACTCGAGTTAAAACTGCATCTTTGTCTGTTTTCTCACTTGTTCTGCTTTGACAAGGGGCACATCATTTTCTTCAAGCAAAAGTACTCTTTCTTCCTCCTCTTGAGTCTCTATTCCTTTCTCCGTTAACGGCAGTCTGCTTAGTCCATCCGCATTTTGATGTTCCTTGCCAGCTTTGTATACAATGGTGTATTCATATCCACACAGTGTCACAGCCCATCTCTGTACGTGGCGATGCCATTTGTGGCACTTCTCGCAGTTCATTAAATAATGAAATCAACGGTTTGTGATCCGTTACAATGGTGAACTGCCTCCCATACAAGTATGTGTGGAATTTCTTTACTCCAAAAACGACAGCTAGACCTTCCTTCTCTAATTGGGAGTAATTCTTCTCAGCTGCATTCAGTGTTCGTGACACAAATCCGATCGGCCGCTCTGTGCCATCCTCCATCATGTGCGACAACACGGCTCCAACCCCGTATGGGGAAGCGTCACAAGCCAGAATGATCGGTTTCTTTATGTCATAATGCACTAGAATGGCTGAGGACTGCAGAAGGTTTTTTGACTTTGCGAAGGCTTCTTTTTGTTCAGAGCCCCATGCCCATTTTGTCTCCTTCCTCAACAGTGCATGTAATGGTGCTAACAAAGTGGATAGACTAGGCAGGAACTTATGATAATAGTTCAACAGGCCTAAATAAGCCTTCAGTTCACTCACAGACTGCGGTGTGGGGGCTTCCTGGATCGCTTTGACTTTTTCTGCGACTGGATGCACACCTGCGGCACTGATTTTGTGGCCAAGAAATACCACCTCCTCTCCAAGGAACTCACACTTGCTGCGTTTCAACCTCAGCCCACTTCTTTCTAGCCGAGACAATACCTCTTCCAGGTTTCTCAGATGTTCTTCCTCACTAGTCCCTGTGACTAAAATGTCATCCAAATAAACTGTGACGTGTGGCATGTTTTGCAAGATTCCTTCCATAGTGCGTTGGAAGATGGCTGGGCTCGACGCTACTCCGAATGGTAGGCTACAGTAAGTGTACAGTCCTTTGTGTGTATTGATAGTGACATATTTCTTGGCACTTTGGTCAAGCATGATCTGCTGATACGCGTGGCTCATGTCCAGCTTTGAGAATTTCTGCCCTCCAGCTAACTGTGCAAACAAATCGTCCACTTTAGGAATAGGATATTGTTCCACACTGGATGCTCTGTTTACTGTGAGTTTGTAATCCCCACAAATTCGAATTGAGCCATCTGGCTTCTTCACGGGTACAATGGGTGCTGCCCATTCTGAAAACTGTACTGGTTCTATAATTTTCTCTTCCACCATTCTTTGAAGCTCTGCCTCCACCAGGGGTTTTACTGCAAAGGGTAAACGTCGAGGCTTATAGAATCGTGGCTGTGCTTCGGGGTTAACATGAATGTTCGCTGTGGTGCCTTTAAGCTGTCCCAGCTCTTCTTTGAACACTTCAGTGTGCCGGTCTAAAACTCCTGACAATTTTAGCGCTGGAGTCGTTGTTACTTTATTTACCAGCTGTGGCAGCAGCCCTAAGTCTTTTAGCCAGCCACGGCCCAACAAATTTGGTCCTGCCCCTTCTACTACGACCATTGCCAGTTTTTTTTCTACTTCCTGGCCTGTCACTCTTCCTGTGACTTGTCCCAGCACCCCCATCTTCTCACCTGTATATGTCTTCAAGTTCAATTTGCATGATCTCCACTCGGGCATGTCTGTTCTTTTCCATAGCTTAGAATATTGCTCCTTACTGATGATTGTGACACCACATCCTGTGTCCACTTCAAACTCCACTTCCATGCCATTCACCTTTAACTTGGTGTGATAGGAGCCACTTTAGGTAGGTTTTGTGATACACTGTAAATTGTATTGATACCACTTGCATCCTCTTCCTCACTCACTTCCTCCTCTTTGACTAAATGTGACCTCCTACCTTTCTCTTTTTCCTTTCTCTCCCCTCTTTGGCCTTTGAACGGTGCTTTCTGTAAACTAGCCCCAGCTTGCTTCGACTTGCATGCTCGTTTTATGTGTCCACGCTTCCCACATTTATGACAGAGTTCGTTCACAAACCGGCATTCCTCGGGCGCATGATTTCCTTTGCATCTATAACACACAAAGTCTCTTTCCGGGCCTTTCCTTTCCGCTGAGTACACTTTATTCAATTCAATTCAATTCAAATTTATTTGTATAGCGCTTTTCACAATACATATTGTTTCAAAGCAGCTTTACAGAAAGTGCATTTCAGAAATGTACATAGAAGAATATAGTTAGTTAGTCATCATGTACTAATTTAGGGCATAACATATCGCCGGCGTTGAGTCGTCTCTTCACAGGCGTCGAGTCGTCTCATCGCAGGTGTTGGGGCATCTGAAGTCTCCGTGAGAGTCTGGATACAAACTGGAGCTGACGAACGCTATTTACCTCGGGACTAGCGTCCCGAGATAACAGCAGAAAAGCAGATGGGAAATAATTAGCGTAGCTGCTGTTCATAGTATTAATGCATTCGATCTGATTCAACAATAGAAGGTAAGCATTATGTGAATGCTTGGCTAAAGAGATGCGTCTTTAATCTAGTTTTGAACTGGGAGAGCGAGTCTGAGCCACGAACAGTATCAGGAAGGCTATTCCAGAGTTTAGGAGCTAAATGTGAGAACGCCCTCCCTCCTTTAGTGGACTTAGATATCCTAGGAATGACCAGAAGCCTCGAATTTAGTGATCTTAACGAACGCGATGGATTGTAGGGCGATACAACATGACATCATGACTTTGCGTAAACATACACGCCACTTTCAATTCAAGTGGCGTGTTATCTATACGCATTTTCAGCTATCCGCGTGTATGTCCACGCCGAAATCTTTTGCGTGTATGTCTACGCCATTAAATGTCCGAGTGATTCCGCGTGTATGTGTACGCCGTTAAATGTCCGAGCGAAACGAAGCAAAATCTATATCTACATCTGTGGAGCGATATTTCTTTTCCTAGGATGGTAGGAGAAGACTCATAAATGGTATTAACCCCAGTGACGGGTAGGTTTAGGGACGGGGTTGGGGTAGGTCATATATTTATATATACATAATACAGTAATATAACGTTAAGTCAAAGGCGTTGATAAACACGCTGAAAAGCGATTATGCGTGTTGATAGCACGCCAAAAATGGAAATACGAATTGGCGTGTCATACATACGCCATTTCATGAGATCAGTCTGGGCGATAGAAGGTCCATTAAATACACAGGAGCTAAACCATTTAGGGCTTTATAGGTCAGTAGTAGTACTTTGTAATTGATACGGAACTTAATAGGTAACCAGTGCAGAGATGATAAAATCGGTGTTATATGATCATATTTTCTTGACCTAGTAAGAACTCTAGCGGCTGCATTTTGCACTAACTGTAGCTTGTTTATTGAGGATGCAGGACAACCAGCTAATAAAGCATTACAGTAATCTAGTCTCGAGGTCATGAATGCATGAACTAACTTTTCTGCATCGGAAACAGATAGCATGTTACGTAATTTAGCAATGTTTCTAAGGTGGAAAAAGGCAGTTCTTGTAACATATGAAATATGATTTTCGAAAGACAAGTTGCGGTCTAGTATAACACCCAGGTCTTTTACTGTAGTCGATAAGGTAACAGGACATCCTTCTAAATTAAAGTTGTATTGTAAGAGATTTTGTGGGTAGTTTTTAGGACCAATAAGTAATACCTCCGTTTTATCTGGATTTAATAGCAGGAAATTACACGTCATCCAGCATTTTATATCTTTAAGACATTCTGTCAATTTAGATAAGTTAGTGTTTTCATCTGGTCGTGATGAAATATATAATTGAGTGTCATCAGCATAGCAGTGGAAATTAATTCCATGTTTTCTTATAATATTACCAAGTGGCAGCATATATATTGAGAATAGCAGAGGGCCTAACACCGATCCTTGCGGCACTCCATAGTCTACTGACGTTATCTTCGATTTTTCCCCATTTAAACAAACAAAATGGTAACGGTCCGATAAGTACGATCTGAACCAGCTTAATGCCTGTCCCTGAACACCAGTGTAGTTTTGTAGTCGATCCAAGAGTATTTTGTGATCTATAGTGTCGAACGCAGCGCTAAGATCGAGTAGAACTAGTATTGAGATACAGCCTTGGTCAGAAGCTAAAAGTAAATCATTTGTAATTTTAACTAGCGCAGTTTCTGTGCTATGATGCGGTCTGAATCCTGACTGAAATTTTTCATATATCTCATTTTCTTGCAAGAAAGAGCACAATTGAGCGGACACAATTTTTTCTAGTATTTTAGACATAAATGGAAGATTTGAAATGGGTCTGTAATTTGCTAAGTTATTTTGATCTAATTGCGGTTTCTTAATGAGAGGTTTTATAACTGCCAGCTTGAATATTTTTGGAACATGACCTAAAGATAAAGACGAGTTAATAATATTGAGAAGAGGCTCTTCCACTACAGGTAACACTTCTTTCAGTAGTTTAGTGGGTATTGGATCTAATAAACATGTTGTTGGTTTAGATGCAATGATAAGTTTATTTAGCTCTTCCTGTCCTATAGTTGTAAAGCGGTGTAGTTGTTCTTGAGGGGCGATAATTGAGGCTGAATCACAAGACACCATAGAGGATTGTACATTTACAATTGTATTTCGGATGCTTTCTATTTTCTCATTGAAGTAATTCATAAAATCATTACAACTATACTGTAACGGAATAATTTGCTCGGGTGATGTCTGTTTATTTGTTAGTCTAGCCACGGTGTTAAATAAAAACCTTGGATTATTTTGGTTATTTTCTATTAGTTTGCGGAGATGCTCAGCCCTGGCTGCTTTTAGAGCCTTTTTATAACGTGACACACTGTC